AAATAATTAATTATTATCTTTATAAGAAAAAATATATTATTAAACCAAATATAAATTACTTTGTTATTGTACCTAAATTAAATTATAATAAAAAAATTGAATTAAAAAATTACACAAAAAATGAGGAATTTTAAATAGTTAATTTGATACGAATATCGATATATTTTTGTTATGCATAAAGTATTGTATATTAATGATATTACTTAAAATTCAAGATTACAAGTAATTATGCATAAGTACAACTTATTAAAGTTCGATGTTTGAATTTGTAAAAATGACTGCGGATATACATAATCAAATAGAGAATGAACATCTCATTTTAAAATATAAAAAATCTAAAATATAATTAGAATAATTATCGAGTTCCAACAAAATAAATAATTATTATCTTTATAAAAAATTATATTATTAAACTAAATATAAATTACTTCGTTATTGTACATAAATTAAATTATAAAAAAATTGGATTAAAAAATTACACAAAAAAATGAGGAATTTCAAATAGTTAATTTGATACTAATATCGAAATATTTTTGTCAAAATTTTATGATATCGTCAAACATATATTTTATTCAAAAATTAAAACATTATCGCTTTCTCAAAATCACATAAAGCCATATTATAATATCGACTGAGATAAATAATAAAATGAAATATTAAAAACACGATGTATCTCGCTGCATTACGCGAGTACGCTTCTAGTAATATTTAAAAACGTTTCTATTTTTTATAAGTAACAACTTTTTAATTTACAAATTATTAAAGTGTAAAAAAAAAATCATAAATTCTTTTTTACACTTTTGATCCTTGTAAGTTGAGAAATTGTCACTTTTAAAAAAAAAGTGACATTTTTTTAAATATATATATATATATATAAAACCAGAGATCAAACCAAAGAGTAAACATGACTATTTGAATTAGTTTCCCTCATCATTATTATTATGAGTGTGAAGGCTTTAAGTTGAAGATATTAAAAGAAACAATTTTGTTTTAGAAAATAAAATAAGATATAAAAGTTAAAGTAATATAATATAATATAATATTAATTAATTCCATATATGGGAAAAAGCTGGTGTCTCCTTTTGAGCTTTGATAAACGATCCTTGTCACACATTAAAAAAATGATGTCGACCATTCATATTTCCCTTTCTTCTATTTTGTCCATATCTTCAATAAAATATATTCCTTCGCTACCGAGTTTTTTTTAAAAATAAAATACAAAATAAAAATATTTTTCTATTAACCTGGATATACAATCCGTTATTCGAACCGATTAATCATAGGACGACCACCTGCTCTGTAGATAATTCGCAGTTACTGCATTTGAACCTATGTGATCAAAAGAAGATTTTTATTCTTCATTAAATTTAAATATGTGACCTTTTTCTTGGGGTAAATGAGCTTTAAAAAAAAAAATTATTTTTATTTAATAATAATTAAATACAAATTCAGCATCTTTGAAATATTCTATTTAATTAGAAGTAGAGATTAAATATGAACACAATAACATCTTTAAATAAAGGACAGGAGCATGGACCAAACCGGCTTGTCCTTTGGACCTGTTCATAATCTGACATCACACTCATCAAGCCATCGGTTTGACGTTACAAAATGTTGAGCCAATAAATAAAAGATCAAATTCCAGTTAGGAATTATGAAGAACAAATTACATCAAATTATTTAAAAATATAAAAAAAAACTCCACTTGTTTGTGTTGTAAAGTTAATCAAGATTCATCTTTCTTCGTCTAATCAAATATTATGTAATCAAGAATTATCAAAGAATTACGATGATGGCAAAACGACAGATTTTGATCTTCATGCCATCACTTGCTCCTCCTCTATCTACATCTGCTCGACCCACTGTGGAACCTTTTCCGATGAACTGTACAACCCAGCCCCTGCCCACGAACCATCTGCCTCGTGATTTCCCTTCATGGGTGGTGAACCATTGTTACCACTTCTGAACCCAAAAGATGCCGACCTTCTAAGCTTATTAGCCTCTTCGCAATTGAACCCCCACTCCAGCTTCCCATCAGGCGAACCCCATTCGGAATAAGTGGAAGACTGGTTCATTGACCGAAGGTTCATGGTGGCTCCTGCACCACGGTCTATGAAGCTCTGGCTACGTTGTTTAGCAAACGAACCAGATCTTGAATTCATCACGGCCTGAGCCACGGCAGCCGATGAATCGAACCCGAAGGTTGTGGGTTTTCTCCCCGGAGAAGATGGGTAATTGGACGTTGGGTAGGATGATCGGAGGGGGTTCGAATTCTGTCGGATTTGCTGGTGACCTGATGGGGATGATACCTTTGGAGACAACCCCTGGATTTGAGATAAAATTGATGGATCAAGAGATCCATAAACATCATCAAGATTAGTTGGTTTCATTTCCCCAAACCTATTGCTGTTATTGTAAAGATTATTAGATAAGTCGTCAATCAATTGCTGCCTTTGTTGCTGTTGAGTTCTTATGTTCTCCAATCCAAGCATCTCCATCTCCATCTCCATCTCCAAATCTCTAGCATTTAAAGACGTCTTCAAACGGCTGCCGGAAAGTTGCAGCGCCGGTGGCGTCAAATGAACAAACTTGTTCTGCCACATATTCCCATTCACCGGAGCAATAGAAGGTGACATGGGTGGAGTTGAACCAAGACCCAAAGGACTCATCGAACCCATTTCCATAGAGCTAACAGAACCTGATTTCGGAGATGGAACAGCTGAACCGGTAGAAGCATACAAGGGTCTCAACTCTTCGACTTTATGAGCAAAAAAACAAACTTTTCTTGCACACCCAGTTTCATCTTTGCAAAGACGAGTCCTGTATTGAGCTGGGTGAAGCCAAGATTCGAACACCCCGTGTGCATACTCGCAGGCATCTCCTTTTACACAGCTTCCTTTACGAAACTCAGGGCATGGCACACAGCTATACTGGTGCTTCCTCGGATCACGCCGCCGTGCGTTCTCGCCGGGATGAACAAACGGACACTCCGTCCAATCATGAGAGTAAGCTCTGGAACATGGCTTCACCTTGAACATATACATCCTAAATTCATCGGTACCATAAACACCGTCGTTTATATCCGGCAACGATACATCAATCGGGTATTCTTTCTTCGCCGTAATAATTTCCGTTTCTTCACTTTCTTCCTTGTCGCTTCCCTCTTCGATCGTTAGACCCTTCAGCAACATCTCCAGAGCTTTCCGTTTGGAGGATTTGATGCCACGAGCAATCAGGTCTACCGGTTTGTTATCGTTGTCGTCGGTTAAATTAGGATCGGCACAGGCTTCAAGCAAAAGTTTGACGGTTTCGACGGACATAGGAGACCCACCTGCGGCAGCGCAGTGGAGGGCGGTGGCGCCGTCGGAATCGGAAGCTTTGTTGACATCCACCTTTTGGGTTCCGATCAGATATTTCAAGACGTGGGTGCTTCCATAAACGGATGCAATCATGAGCGGAGTTCGTTCTTCGAACCCCATCTTTCCTTTAGAGCCGTTTCTTCTTCCATACCAAAAACTGACTTCATCTAAGCTCATCCCCTTCCTTTCTACCTCGAATACGAACCCAGCAACATCATCGATGGCTGCTAATTCCAGTAAAATCGAACATTTCAAGAAGAACCCATTTTTATTTTCTTGAATTTTATCTCCCTCCATGACTAAATTTGTGGAACAAAATTTACCCTTCGAACCTTTACACATCAAAACCTGCAAATATTATAGAAACCCATTAACAATGATTACTCCAACTACAAGAAAACCCGACAAAAATGAGTTGTCTTCCATAAACATCAAGAACTTATGATTGAGTGAAAAAGATTCGACATACCTGATTGAATTGACGAAGAAATCAAGTGGAGGTTAGCTGTAAAAAGTTTATGAGGAATATGAAGCTGTCGAGAAGACCGATGAAGGTTAAGAGAATGAATTGGGATGAACGATGTTATATATATTGTTCAAATTGAAGATAAAATAATGAAAAAGTAGACACACGGGGGATGAGAGAAAGGAATGGAGGAGGAAGGTGAGACTTTTCTTCTTCTTTGTTTCTGTTTGTCGTTTTCTGGGTCCAAGTCAAACCTTTCAACAATGGTGGAACACCCACTTCAAATGCAAATGAAATGCAAATTCAAATTCAAATGCAAATTCAGATTCAAAATCAGATTCAGATTCAAATTCAGAGAATGGGTTCCACAAACCTGATTGGGTTTCCTTGATATTTTGACTGGCTTTTACCCGCTTGTCGAGCTTCACACGGCTGGCACGAACCCTACGCGCTTAACATTAATGATGAAAAATTACAAATTTAGTCCCTAAACTTATCAACCTACAGGTTTAGTCCATGGATTGTTTTTTTTTTCACTCATGTTCTTTCGTTGTACATATGGTTTCATATCAACTTTCTATACCAACACAATTAGTTATCCCCGTTAAAAAGCAACATGCACAAGAATTTGAATTTGCATTTCATTTGCATTGGAGAAGGTAAAACTCAAAAGAAGGAACGAAGATTGATAAAATCGACTAAAGAATATGAAGAATTGAAGACGTAAGACTCATGATACTGAATTACTGATATTGTATGAAGGAATGAAAATCGAAGCGTCGTTTAACTCGTGAGTTGTAATACTGAAACTTGGGTCAATTTATTTAAGAAGAAACAAAATAAAAAAATTTGCAATAAAAAAACATTTTAAAACATTTCATAATATATTTGTTTATACGTGTTCAGTTTATAATGTAATTTTTTTATTTATAAATATCTTAAAAAGATTCATATTGTCGATTATATGTGGAACAAATATATTGTTAAAACTGATATATGTTAATCAATATTATAAATTGTAGTATTAGATGAAAAAAATAACATATAAAATAAAAGATATAAGGTAATAGTTCGTGTGGATTTAAAATTAAATTATAATTGTAATATTGAAAAAAGCGAAACTTTTGTGTGGTGGAAATGAAACATTGACGTATTATGGAGGACTGAAATTAGGGAAGGGAGTGTGTATGGCGCGTGGGAGTAGATGGGTTTTCCGCTTGAAGATGGTTGGCGAGTGGGTTTCCACGCGTCACGCGGCTTCTGTATACCATCATGATTTCAGTGGAGTGGGTCCGGTTTACGTGGCCCGTTTGCGTCATCTCTTCGGGTTCTACCCGAATCCAATAACCTTTTTCTACAATATCTTGGGATTTACTTTTCAACTTGTGAAATATCTATGCCATAATTTTAACAATATCAAATATTAAACTCTACTAAAATTTACATTAATTTTAACATTTATTCTGTTTTAAATTCTAAAATTATTCATGTTATTGAGATATTTAATTAAATAATATTTTTATCTATAAACATTTATTTTTAATATCTCTTATTAAAAATAAATTTTTTTGACACATTTATCTAAAAAGTTTTCCAAAACCTTTATTGCGAACATAAGTACTTGTTGAGTCACAAGTCCAAAATAAAAAAATCAGCCCTTATAGAAAAATCCAATATTTTGTGGCAAAAAATATCCAACCTGCTAATTCAATCCGAACCCAATCAAAAATTAGTAGATGGGGTAGAGATTTTCAACTCATTTAAATAAATGAGTCAATCCGTCTAACCCATTTAAATAAATGGTTGTGTTGGGTTGAGTTGAGTTGAGTTTTTCGACCTGTTTTCAACTCATTTAAAATGTTATATAATTTTATTTTTATTCTTAATATTATATCTAGTATTTTAATTTTTTATTTTGTTTTGTTCTTAATTAAAAATCCTACCGTCGTGATATGAAACTCTAAATTCCATTCACCTCCATTATTCTTAATCATCATGAACCTAAGAAAACCCTTTAGTCCATTAGTTCATTATCGCCTACAAAGTCTAATCCAACTTATTTTGAATAATATATTTGTTGTGATTGTGTTTTATTCAAACTTTTAACAATTTATTTGTATTTGTGGTTTTGTTTTATTCAGAAAAAATTTAAATAGTCTAGTCCTTTTTTTATTTAAAATGTTAAAATTATATGGGTCAACCCGTTGTCAACCCATTTATTTAACAGGTTGAGTTAAGAAAATCGTAAACAGGTCAACCCAGGTTCAACTCATTTATTTAACAGGTTGGGTTAAGAAAATCGTAAACAGGTCAACCCGTTGTCAACCCAGGTTCAACCCATTTATTTAACAGGTTGGGTTGAGATTTTCGACCTTTTTAATAAATAGGTTGAACTCGAGCCCAACCCAACCTGACTCATTGTCACCCCTAATATTTTCTTAATTATCCTGTTATATTTTATTTTAATTAATTTATAAAACATGCTTATAAAATATATAAATTAATATTAATATTAAATTTTATAATTTAAAATATATTTAATAATTTCGAAGTATTCATTATTCTTTGGGTAGCTATCTTATACAAGCTTTATTATTTTGGTTTGATTGTCTTACTAAATACTAGAAGAGTACTCGCATAATGCAGCGAGACATATCTCAATTTTAATGTTCTATTTTATTATTTGTCTCTGTCGATGTTATAATACGATTTTATGTGTTTTTAAGAAAACAATAATGATTTTATTTTTAAATAAAATATAAATTTGAAGATATCATAAAAAGTTGAAAAAAAAATATATTAATGTTAATATCAAATCAACTATTAAAAAGTTCTTATTTTTTATGTAATTTCTTTAACTTATTTTTTTTATTATAATTTAATATAAGTTTAATAACGAAATAATTTATTTTTGGTTTGATTATGTTTATCTGCAGTTAGCTACACGAATTCATATATGAAGCTTTAATAAGTTATTCTTACGCACAATCTAATTATAACCTTGAGTTTTAAGTAATATGCATTAATAAACAGTACTTTACGCCTAAAAAATGGTTTTAAGAGTTTTTATCAAATGTTTTATAATATAGTATAGATAATAAAACAATTTATTTTTGGTTTAATATTATAAATTTTATAAAGATAATATTAAGTATTCTGTTAGAATTTAATTATTATACTAATTATATTTTAGATTTTTTATATTTAAAATAAGATGTTTATCTTGTATTTGATTGTGTTTATTTGCAGTTATTTACACGAATTCAGATATGAGATGAAATCGGATAGGGATGAAATCGTTTAGAGATAAACGGATTTAAGAGTTTTAGCCAAATGTTTTATAATATAGTATAGATACTTCCAGAAATATAGATTTTCCAACGTAATCAATTCAATTAAAATTTGTGGGTTATGACAAAAAAAAAATGCTTATTTTTTAACCACCTCTAAACTTGTTATAATAAAATAGTCAAAAAATCAAAAGCCAACGTCACAAATTTTTTTATTTTTTTTGTAATCCGTAAGACGGTGGTTTTGACTTTTTTTTGCACGTCGATTAATTTATTTTCACGTTGAGCCCACTTTCTTCTGCGTGAGTCAAAAAATATCATAAACTTTAAGGAAAGGTGCTTTTACGGTGTTAAATTCCAACCTCTTAACTATTTTGTAAAAAAAATTAAAAAGGTGGCTAAAAAGGTAAAACTTTTACATTATATTGTATGATTACATGCTCTCGGCTGGGTAGCAGGAGAAACTTTTAATCCGAGAAGGAGTCCACCAGAATATCCCGAAATGGACTGTGTATACCTTGTTATGGCCTATGGGGGTTCGTAGTTATGGGCCTTATGGCTTCCAAAAGGATAACCCAAATTTACCATGATATATTGGGCTCAGCCCAAAACCTCTTTTTTGTATTTTGTTATATGGGGGTTCGTAGTTATGGGCCTTATGGCTTCCAAAAGGATAACCCAAATTTACCATATGATATATTGGGCTCAGCCCTCTTTTTTGTATTTTGTTATGCGTTTGAAAGAAAAATAAATAATTGTGAACATTTTTTATAACAAATTAATTTTGTTCCTATAATTTTTTTAAATATATTATTTATTTAAATATTATTAATAAATCAAAAATAAAATGTTATAAGTTTAGGATATATGTTAAATAATAAAATAATTATAAACAAACTCAATGTTATATCATCAAATTGTTGCTATTAAATCTTTTATAATTAATTCGTTCCTAGGATTAAAGATTAATAATTAATAATAAAACTATAAGTAATTGAATAATAAGTACAAGGTAAAATAAATGACGTATATTAATACAATTTATGAGTAATGACACTGCAAGTTGGATATTACTGTGTTCTATACACTGATTTTCTAGCGTTATTAGAATCAAAATTATTAATTATACTTTTGTAATCAAGATGTTTTAAAAAGGATGATAAAACTGAAAGTAGAACTCGGGTAATCCACATCCACAACTGAAAATTATGATAAAACAAAGGCAAACTAAAAGTAGAACTCCGAGTTGTCCTATGAACGATTCATATCTTCCCCAGTTTCCCTTACCTATTGAAGTACTTCTACGTGAAACTTGCTGAAAATGGCTTCGTTTTAAAAAGCGAGGGTTAGATTGAAAGATCTAGTGAATTTCCTTGTTTTCATTTTCAACAGCAACACGTTTAAAACAGAAGGTGCAATATGAAAACACCATATGCAAGTAAATATGCACATTATCCCCCACGAATGGACTTTGCACGACGTTTGTAGCCACACAGTTACACCACAATGACATTCACAAACAAGGCTTCCATTAGATGCATATCCTACGTGCACAGGAAACGAATTCAAGGTATACGAATTATCACTCCCAAGAGATACCACTATCTCAAGGTACCCTACTCACACTGTGCAGATCCACATATCCCACAAAGCCACAATATTATCCAATAACATAAAGTATACAAAATGGTAATTTGCATAACAACGATAACAATGCATAAAACTTTAAAACATTCATAGACGATCACACATTTATAAAATTAAGGTAAGAGAACTCACCTGGTACTTCGCACCCCACCAAAGATCATAACGACGAAATAGTCCAAACCGAACACCTGAATTAGCTAAGATAGGAAAGGCGTTAACCCATCTTAATAATCCCCAAAGGCATCTATGGTGACCCTCTAAGAAACGCACTAGAATGAAGTTTCAACCTAGGCTTGAAACGAGAAACGAAACAGCTGAAGTCGCACCACAACAGTGGCTTACGCGACTTAAGCCACGACTTAGGTTGTGCGCCAAGTCACGCAACCTATTGTGTTCGTTACTTCATCCTAATAGCCCAAATCGCATTCGAGGCCAACAATTATTCCATAAAACCATGAATCCCAGATCAAATTAACATGCTATACCATTTGGAAACTTCCCAAACCACATTCTAACTCAAATCCAACCAATAAACATATTCACTCATCCATTTTCCAAATCAAACCAAAAGATTACTACCATTAGGTACCCAATAAGCAAATCCCATCTATTGGATCATTAAACACTATGATTCCACTGGATGAATACGATCATAATCAAATTTCCACATCAAAATCCCTTCCAAAGATGGATTCTCAAAGAAACTCGGATGACCCAACAAGGAGTATCCATTGGAGCTCTTGATCTCCTCATTTCAATACTAAAACTTCATTAATGGAGAAGATAAGCTTGAAGAGTCAAAGTTCTTACTTAAAGGGAATGATTTCTTCGCTTGATTCTTCTCCAAATCTATCTTTTCTCCTCAAAGCTCTATCGCACACACTCACACCATGGAAGAATTGGTCAAAATGACTGAAATGAGAGTGTCCCTTCTCATTTACTCTTCTATTTACAGTTCCAACCCTTGACGAAATGGTACGGTTCAGGCCTTCAACCCTAGACTTCCATAGAATTAACACACACACACACACATAAAGGGTCATCACAAAATTGCATACCCTAGTGCCACCCAAGCCTATATACACTATATGCGAAGGTTGGGCGTATGCATACAATATCCCAAACCAAGCCCCTTAAAGAAGATCTAATACCAAGAAATTGTAGTTTTGTATTTTAAAGTTGCCAATATTTTTTTCCAAACAATGGTACCATTTAACTATAAGAGTTAAATTTTATAGAAATCTTTAACGTCATAATAGTTTAATTTTTTTCCAACTATGCCAAAACCATAAAGGAGAGACATGGTCCACCAATACGCTTTACATAGGCCGGCCTTTGCTTTGTGCTGAATATTTCTATTATACTCTAATATTTTTTTATAAAAAAAATAAAAATTACCAAAAACAACAAATCAATTTTATTAATTATGAATTTTGAAAATTTTGATTTAACATGTGTTTCAAATATTAGATTGAAGATGTCAACGAGACACAACGTAAGCAGATGGAAAAAGTTTGAAAATTCAAACCATTAAAATTAAACATGTGAAGCTTAGTTCTAAAGCAAGTGTCATATCATTGTCTTCCGTTCTATTAAATGATGCAACATTTATTATACCTTTATTGCAAAAAAAATGTTAATATAATCTATTAAGCATTTCATGGATAAATCTAACAATCACATCTTGAGATTTAGAGTTAGCCTCAAGTTTAAGTCATGTTAAAGGTTGATAGGACGTTCGAGACCAATTATGTATCACCAGCCACCGTTAGTCGTAATTAGAAAACCAGTTACAAAAGAACCTATTAGGGTTTGAGTTAGGAGGGGTCAACCCTCTACTTAGATCCTTAGGGCCAGTTATGGCTCTTGTATACGCAACTATATTTAGAATATATATATATACACACACACTCTTTGTGAATAGGTCTTATTCCTACGGCCGGTTATGGACTAGTGATCCAATTTTGTACATCTGAACCCTATTTTTAAAACAACAAAATCATAAATTAAAAAAAAAAACCCTCATTTTTATAAAAATTTCTTTAAATCTTAATGTCTTAAAAATATTTAATAATAATCTTAATTCATAACATATACAAATATATTATTGATGTACATAATTTTGTGGAGGGTGTTATTGTCAAAGAAGCATTGTTGACAATTTCTAGTCAAAGATATTTATGTTATAAAATTAAAAAAAAATGGAATGAAGTAAACGGTGGGCAACAAATGATTCAATAAATAATAAATGCATCGCATTTGGGGAACTCATGGAGTCATGGTTTGAATAAATTATTAGCATTAAATTAGGAAGTCAATTTGATTTTGAGTCATTGCAATAATACCAAATGATGCTCAAATTATATAACAATTTTTATTTTTATTTCGAAATATATTCCTAAAATAAAAGTAAGAGTAAAATACAGATCTCCTATGGTTATTGATACGAGTCCCGTAAATGAAAAAAAAAACATGTATGTTTATTGTGCTTTCTTTTTTGTTACGGATTGGGTCCCTTATTCTAACTTTGTTAACCTTAGTTCTGCTAACTCTAGAACGTATATTTAATTTTGAAGGCAGGAGCGAGAGTGAGAATCGGATTTGAGGACAGAGCCTGGTAGGGGATGGGGTTTCTTCAGCGGGAAGGGGACCGGAGGGTGAAAATTTGCAATTTACTCTAAATGAAAAGAAAAATAGTAAAAGAAATTTTTTTAATAAGAAAATCTAATGGTTTATGATTTGTAACATAATTCTTATAAATTGCATACCAAATAAAGGGTTGGGTTCCAGTGAGAAGAGGAGTTAACACAAACGTAAGAAAAGATCTCCATAAAATTTGTAATTGGTCTTAGTCTTGAGCCGAGCCTTGAAATTTAGTAAAATTTATAATTGGTGCCAAGTTGTCATGTCATAACCAGTCCCTACTGGTTCAAATCAGTACTTGACAATAGACCCTATTTGGCCATCTCTATTTTAGCATATATTTTTTTGTTTAGTCTAAAGAAACTTTCTACAAATTCATCACTCGAATTCATATAAACAATGTGGCTTGTCGGTTTGATTTTATTCTAAGAGCTCAATCAGATAGGATTTCAAATCAGAAATTTGAAACCATCGAGTCTACGAAATTTTAATTAAGTGTAATCAGAATGTCACGTCGTTTTCATTCTGTCCCCTTCCTTAACTACTACGCTTCCCACCATCAACTTGAGACTGTGTAAATAAAACATTATTTAAAATAAAGTTCATTTTTTTTGTTCCTAACTTTTGTAATTTTCAATGGATATCATCCCTAAATTTCATAAACTCAGATTTGGTCCTTCACATTTGTCCGTTTTCAACGGTTTTGGTCCTTATATCTAACGGTCGTTAAAATTCTTCGTTAAGTTCAATTAAATTAAGGGTATTTTAGTCATTTAACACAATTTTCTTAATTTTATATTTAAATTAAAAATCATATTACATTTTTAATTTTTAATTTAAAAATGAAAAAAAAAAAAAAAAAGGATTTAGGATTGGATAAAGAAGTACAAATTGGCATGTCGGCTGTCATCCTCCTGATCTTGTTTTCACACACTTGCATGCTGTAGCATATATTTGCACGTTTTTCTTTATGTCATTTTCACTTTTACCCTTTATAAACCACCATTCCTCCACCACCATTTTCAATCTCATCAACCATGACTTGCCCCGGAGATTGGCCGGAGCCGGTTGTCCGAGTGCAATCCTTATCGGAAAGCGGTAAACCAGTAATTCCCGACAGATACATCAAACCGCCGCCGGATCGGCCCTCCGCTAACTCATCACCGCCCCACATAAACATACCTCTCATCGACATGGCCGGTCTGACCAGCGACGATCTCGCCGTCCGGGAAGCAACGTTGAAAGAAATCTCGGAGGCCTGCCGCGAGTGGGGGTTTTTCCAGGTGATCAATCACGGATTGAAAGGGGAATTAGTGGATGGAGCTCGGGAGATTTGGCGGGAGTTTTTTCATGAATCGATGGAGGTGAAGCAAAAATACGCCAATTCACCCAAAACATATGAAGGATATGGAAGCAGATTAGGGTTCCAGAAAGGAGCAATACTTGATTGGAGTGATTATTACTTCCTTCACTATCTTCCTTCTTCTCTAAAGGATCACCATAAATGGCCTGCAAAACCACCTTCTTTGAGGTTAACCATCTCTTCAACTTCTCTCCTTAAAATATTCAGAAACCTTATCTAATAAGAATGAAGATGAATTTTGTTTCATTTTAATGCATTTTGTCCTGAAAACAACGTTTAAAAGAGAAATCCATGACATGCAGGTTCATCATCGTAACAAAGTCTCGATCATAACATCCATCTTTTTTCATGTATACATAACATCCATCGATCGATGACTTGCATGATGTTTGTTTGATTGTATTAATGTAGGGAAGTTGTTGAAGAATACTCGAAAGAGATAGTGCGGTTGGGTAGCGTTTTATTAGAGGTATTTTCTATAAACCTCGGCTTAAAACACGATTACCTCCAAAATGCGTTTGGTGGAGAGGACATCGGGGCTTGTTTGAGAGTGAACTTCTATCCAAAATGCCCACAACCCGACTTAACCCTTGGTCTATCGTCTCACTCTGATCCTGGTGGCATCACCTTTCTCCTTCCCGATGAGAACGTCAGCGGACTTCAAGTCCGACAGGACCAACAATGGGTCACCGTCAAACCAGCCCGACATGCCATTATCGTCAACATCGGAGATCAGATTCAGGTACCCATTTCTTTCAAGAATTAAAACCACTAGGGACCAGACATTAATACGATGGCTGCTTTTGTTTTGACTGCCTGTCATTTGGTTCTTTCCTCGACAATGCAAACGACAAAAACATCAACTCTAAATGTTAGTTAAATCAGTCTGTCTTAGGTTGTATCAGATTATGATTAGTTATTAATCGTTGTAATTAATATATAATTACGGCTGATGATATCTTGACGTATTTTCGTCGTTTTCTTGGTGCAGGTTTTAAGCAACGCCATATATAAGAGTGTGGAACATCGGGTGATTGTGAATCCAGACAAAGAGAGGGTGTCATTGGCGTATTTTTATAATCCAAAGAGTGATTTGCTTCTTCATCCTGCACCGGAGTTGGTGACGCCTGCAACACCGGCGCTTTATCCCTCTATGACTTTTGATGAATACAGACTGTTCATACGAACCAGAGGTCCGCAAGGGAAATCACAAGTAGAGTCTTTAAGATCACCCAAATGACTTCTTACCCTTTTCCTTATGTGTTATATGTATACGTGACGTACAATAAATTCAACATGTACAATTATCAGTTTCTTAATTTGTAATTTATATATTATATGATTTATAAAATCTTATGATATTTTATAAGCCTTGGAAGAGAAGTAAAAATGGGTTATCGATAAGTATGAAAGAAAGTTCAATATATATTGATTTTATCATCAGAATAACATTGAATTCAAAAAATAATAATGATTCATACGAAACCGTTTTTCTGAGTATTTGTAGACAAAATCAATCAATAATTACTTTAAATTAATATTATATATCATATATATCATTTTTACATAGCATCATAAATCCATTTAGGCCCAACTACATTCTATGATATACCTTTATTATATAGATTGACATCATTTGGAGCCATCCGTTATAATGTTGACTATTCAGAATAACATAAATCAACATAAATCATTTGAGTTTTCATCACCATTTTAAAGTTTTAGGGTTAAAACAAACCTATTAAAAACATCAATCTTAGAATCAAAAGTCCATCTTGGTTATAATTTGAGATTTTATTCTTGTTTTAGCAATAGAAGAGTACATAAAATTCATGCACCTAATATTAGGTAACAAAAAGTCAATAATATATGAAAAAAACATGGTAGTTTTGAAATCGTAAATATAGATATAAGTTGGATCGTCTCATATGATTGATAACTCTTTTCAAAAAGTTAAGAGTTTTCTTATGTAATAACAAGAAATCTACTTATATTGTAACGCAAAATAATATTCATACATAATTATTGTATTACTTCTTATAAGTCAGACATTGATTTCAAAATACCTAAAAAAGTTTTTTCAGCTGTTAATTAAATCGATTAATATAATAATATAAACGATTAAAAAGTCTTAGCTAAACACTAAAAACTTAAAAATGACGTACAGAAGAAATATACAAAATTAATTAATTAAACAATTAAAAATATTGATTGAAATATTTTAATTTTAAATTCTTGAGATACCACTTGGAATCTTGATTTAGAGTCGCAAGGGATTAAAAAATTCCGCTAAGACCACATGTTTCCATTCATTTAATATTCAATATTTCAATTTTTAATTAATTTTACCATAATATATTAAATTAAGTTTATTTATTTTAAACATAAAAAATTGAAAAAATAGAATCAACTCACATGTGTACCATATACACATCACTTGCTCTTTAATTCAGTAATATAATACAAGGTAAAACTTAATCAATAATATATAACTTCAATTAATGTTATAACATATATATATATATATGTATATATATTAATTTTTAAGACATTTTAAAACCTTATCTACACTCTTATTATTTAATAATCATTATTTAAAAATTAGACTAAGTATGATTCAGTTATTTTAATGTTGCTTCTATTGATTGATGATTTTATCTTTCGTATAAAAATATGTTTATAAAGGACCCATAAAAATTAGACTCGTTTTAATAAACATATTTTTGATAAAAAAATTGTCATGAATGACATCATAACATAACAATTCTCATATTCTTTTAATCATCTTAAGAATAGTTGATGTCAGAATAACGACTTCTCGCACCTTCTACACACACATAGAAAATAATTATATATATATATATATATATGTGTGTGTGTGTGTGTGTGTATGTGTTCATGTGAGACCATTTTTTACACTTGAAACTTCACAATAAAAAACACTGTGAAGGTTACATTTACAGGGTTTTGCTGTGAAGTATCAAATGTAAAAAAAAATGGTCTTACAGTTCTCATAAAAACATGTTGGTCTCACGTGATTTCAAGTCTATATATATACACACACATACACGTATAGAGGGTATCTGGATCATATGAGAATAATAGTTACAATAAAAATGTCGAAAGCACTTTTGAATGATGAATTGATTCTTTTGATCTATCTTCATTTTCAGTCATTTTTACATACTTTTACATTCATGAATTTATTAAATTTCAATCTTGATTATAAAAATATATAAATAAATGTTGTTGAAAGTATATGGTAGTTTTGTTCTCAAATAACTCTTATTCTCATGAACCTATCTCTCTCTCTCTCTCTCTCTCTATATATATATATATATATATATATATATATAGAGAGAGAGAGAGAGAGATACGGATTGTAACACAGAAATTAAAAAGATTAAAGAAACAGATATACAACCATTTTAAGACAAATGCAATAATCCACGTATGGATAGAATAAAATACGAGCCGAATAAAAAAGGAACTCATGAAGGGTGGTTACTAGCAACTTCAACATCATATATACGTGGAACTGTTTGTTTCAATAAGTTTTACAACACATTATTGTGGAGTGACACGATAGTATATTACGATAATTATTTTGTTGTTTTCTAATATCGCCGAAACCTGTCTCTGAGTCTAAATCCAAATTGGTATAATGACGAATAAGTTATCAAATCTGGATAAGTTTGCTCTTTTGAAATCGATGGGGACGATGGGCCACCCATATTTGGTCCCTCTATTATTTATGTACATATTTTGTAGTTATCCACCAATAAAATTAAAATAAAAATGATTTTTTTTTAATTTTTAGAATTTATAAAGAACTATTATTGTGGTTTGTACTTCGTTATAGATTTCGTCCTGGTTGTTAGCTTCGTTAAAAGGTATCTAAACGGCCTTATGTGATATTAACGTAAGGGGCGTTTTCGTCTTTTTGCCTTTTTATTTAAAGTTGAAATCAACTATGACGATCCTATCATAGGTGTTCTTCCTTAAGTGGCTCTTTCACAATCAGTTAGTGGCGATGGGAGGTGGAGAAGGAGACCACATCACTTCGGTTACCATCGTTGTCAATACCACACAAAGAAACCCATCTCTAGCGACCACCCTCTACTGTGATTTTTTATTCGTTGGTGCGGTTTTCATTAATTCTTTATAGGCGTTTTTCAGTCCAGATCTACCTCCTTTGGAGGGGTTTGCCCGATAAGTTAACAGTGACCCAAAAGTTGTTTTACTTAAATGCTTTGATGACTTGTACACAACTTTAAAAAATCGTACACTATTTTTTTTTTAGAAAACATTAAGTATCAAATTACCCTCACAAACCTGCATGTGGGGACCTTAACGAGCAAAAGTTCTCGATCCTTACGACCAAGTACGATCTCTATATCGCTTTGATAGACCTATACGAAGCTCCACGTGATTATATTCATACATGTTCTGACTAGCAGGTCATTATGGATATAGTGACATGGTGGGCCGGGGTAATAGAAAATGGATCGAAACCTTAATAATGATCACGTTAAGGATGAAAATCAAAGTTTTTCACAAGGTCATGTACGGTATTGTAATTTACTCTTTATCTAATATATATATTTGTTTGGTAATGTTGTCACCTAACTTTCAGTATATCATATTTTGATTGAACTGATTAACAATTTTATAATAGCTCATGACTTGATTATTATTATTTTTTAACCGCTGGTATATGGAGCTTAAGCATACCTCAATTAATATTATGCAAGTCTGAAGTTAGTCGTCACTCGAAAGGTACATGTAGATTAAGTGTTTCATCTTTTAATATCTGTTAAAAAACTTGAACTGATAATTACTAAAAGACAAAACTTTGACAATATCTAACTAACACGAGTTAGCTATGTGATCACAATTCTTTGTCGAGCTTGTTAACGTTGTCCCATCATAACGTTCTTGATCATTAATAAATGCATTAGTGTTTGGTAAAAGAACAGTCTTTTTAATTTTCTTAACCACTTATCCCACCATCCTCCTCCCATTTTATATTTTACATATATTTATATCGTAAATAATTTTAAAAAAAATGTTATTCGATTGTTGTGTTGAATAAATACTATGAATATCAGAAATAACTCTTTTATCATCCGTCTATATTAATAATTATTTGATAAAAGATAGTGAACAATCAACTTTAAATGATAGAAAATATATCGGTTTAAACATTTCTTAAATAATAAAACTGGTTCATTAAGCAAAAATCCATTAAGCCTTCAATATGTAAACAGCATACATCAATCTCATTGCTTAAGACGATGTTTCCATGTTTTGATTGAATTGTATTCTATAAGCAAATAATACAAGTTTATTTGGGAAAAGTCTAAAAAAACTCAATGGACTTTAATGTTTGGAATGATTAAGTTTTTAAACAATTTTTAGAGCAAATAAGTTCTTGAACATTCCAAAACCTGTTAAACAACTTCTTGGATTTTCTAAAACCTGTTATATATATCCTTATAACCTATAAAACTAATTAACGTAGTAAAATAATGGAAAAAACATGGAAAAAAGTCAATTAACATTCACATTTTGAACGACAAAGTTCCTAAATATTTTTTGAAAACAAAAAAGTACTTACATTATATAAAATAAAACAAATATACCAAAAAAATAGTTACATTTAAAAAAGATTATTGATAAAAGTTATTTTAATTAAAAATAAAAGATATTATATCAGTGATTTTTCAAATTAAAAAAAAATAAAAAAA